TACTTCGTTTGTACCCGTTTGTACCTCCCTTATTTTCGTTTGTACCTCAAAGGGTTCGGAGATACAGCGCTTTTCAATTTTTGCGCAACCCCTATATAGGTAGCGAAATTCGCCAATTTTAAAGCTATCGAAATGCGACCAACGGCATTCGGAAGAGAATCGTTTGTACCCGTTTGTACCTCCCTTACTTTCGTTTATACTTCAAAGGGTTCGAAGATACAGCGCTTTTCAAATTTGTGCAACCTCTATATAGCGAAATTCGCCAATTTTAAAGATATCGAAATGGGACCAACAGTATTCGAAAGAGAATCGTTTGTACCCGTTTGTACCTCTTTTACTTTCGTTTGTACCTCAAAGGGTTCGGAGATAAATAGGGGTTGAGCAAAATTGAAAGCGCTGTATCTCCGAAGCCTTTGAGATACAAACGAAATAAGGGAGGTACAAACGGGTACAAACGATTCTCTTTCGAATGCCGTTGGTCCCATTTCGATATCTTGAAAATTATCGAATTTCGTTATATAGGGGTTGAGCAAAAATTGAAAATCGCTGTATCTCCGAACCCTTTGAGGTACAAACGAAAGTAAGGGAGGTACAAACAGGTACAAACGATTCTCTTTCGGATGCCGTTGGGCCCATTTCGATATCTATAAAATTGGCTAATTTCGCTATATAGGGGTTGCGCAAAAATTGAAAAGCGCTGTATCTTCGAACTCTTTGAGGTAAAAACGAAAGTAAGGAGGTACAAATGGATACAAACGATTCTCTTTCGAATGCCGTTGGTCCCATTTCGATATCTTTAAAATTGGCGAATTTCGCTATATAAGGGTTGCGCAAAAATTGAAGAGCGCTGTATCTCCGTACCCTTTGAGATACAAACGAAAGTAAGGGAGGTACAAACGGGTACAAACGATTCTCTTTCGAATGCCGTTGGTCCCATTTCGATATCTTGAAAATTATCGAATTACGTTTATAGGGGTTGCGCAAAAATTGAAAATCGCTGTATCTCCGAACCCTTTGAGGTACAAACGAAAGTAAGGGAGGTACAAACGGGTACAAACAATTCTCTTTCGAATGCCGTTGGTCCCATTTCGATATCTTGAAAATTATCGAATTTCGTTATGTAGGGGTTGCGCAAAAATTGAAAATCGCTGTATCTCCGAACCCTTTGAGGTACAAACGAAAGTAAGGGAGGTACAAACGGGTACAAACGATTCTCTTTCGAATGCCGTTGGTCCCATTTCGATATCTTAAAAATTATCGAATTTCGCTATATAGGGGTTGCGCAAAAATTGAAAATCGCTGTATCTCCGAACCCTTTGAGGTACAAACGAAAGTAAGGGAGGTACAAACGATTCTCTTTCGAATGGCATAAATTAAATTAAGAAATATTAAAGTTGGGCGATGGCCATTTTTTATATTTCATTGTTTGTTTAACTGTTTGGGGTACAAACGAAAATAAGGGAGGTACAAACGGGTACAAACGAAGTACAAACGCCCTATGGTATTAATTTTTATTTTTGATAAAGTTGGGCGTCAGGTTCACATCGGTTCTCCAGATCTACCGTCCCCACCGATCGCACAGCGCGCGGGCCGCTGGGAGTGGGCCTGCTATAGGCGTGCTGTTTCAGTCACGACGTTTAGTGGCAGTTCCTACTCCCCGCGCGCCTCGCTTTCGATGGCGGATATTCGGCGCTTTAGAAATAATATCTCGATTATCGCGAAAATTGGGAAAATT